TGAATTGGTTGGGGAGAATGACCCCTCAAGAAATTGAGGGAATGATGTTTTTCAGAGTGACAGGAACAGTATGATATGGGAAAAGGGGAGGGGGGTCATGAGCCTGGGTGATTCTGTCGGATGATGGGGGTTCCGCTTTAGAGCATGAAAAAAAAAATATCTTTTTCAACTGGGTAGGAGTGCCCTTTCCCAAACTATGGGCGAAAGTGGCGTGAGGAAGTTGGTCGTTTAAAATGAAGATTTAGTCCCCGTTCCCCGCGAAATGAGCGTGGAAAGGGAGTAAGGGTGCGATCGTTTCTGAGAAGAACGAGAAGGTGGAGAAATTTCCTCAGCAGGGTAATTGTGGACGTTTAGGCGGGGACCCCGAGTTGGTCCGACGTTTGAAGGGTCGGCGATTTGAAAATTTCCGCACCGGGAGAGGGGGAGGCCCGGAAGCAGATCGAGGAGAGCGAAGGTTGATAAATCGAGGAGTCAGTCGAGGCCCCAGTACCTGAAAAGGGGGGGAGGAAACGCACGGCAATATTACGGGGAGAGGAATGTCTGAAAAGTGGTCCAAAAGACGGGGGGGGTCAGAAAGGGGTGCCCCCGGGTTTAAAAAAGGGGCCGGGGGGGTACCAGGTTCTGGAAGGGTGCCATGGTTAGGTTATTCTTTCTTTTTGTTTTTAAAAAAAAAAAGAGAAAAGAAAAAAAAAATAAAAAAAAAAAAAAAAAAAGGGGGGGGGGACCGGGGAGGGATAGGTCCTAGGAGGAATGAAAGGGCCAAAAATCTCCCTCCCCGCCCCAAAAGGACCTCAGCACCGCAAGTTTGCGCGATGAAACATGGAACCGTGCCATACCCTACCCATATGCTAGTAAACTAACAATCCGGGTGCAACCCACATCTGCCGAGCTACCTCGGTGGACAAAAGAGGGGCGGCCGGATATCCGCCACAAAGATCCTCCTTCGGCCACCCCCCCGGAATCCCAAAAGGTTGGTTCCAGAGATACACTGTCGCCCGAAAGACACCCAAGCTACTCCGGGATCCGGGAGGGGGATCGGGACATCCCCAGGCGATCCGATTCCCCGGAAATACGCCACGTAAGAACCTCAAAGGAATGGGATGGACCCCGGTATCCTTTCTCCTACCTAGGAACTAGCGCGCCTGTGGGAGAAATCCCAAAGGACAAAAAGAGGAAGGGCAAAAGGGAGGAGTGGGGAGGAGGAGGAGGAAAGGAAAAAGGGGAGGATGGGGAGGATGGGATAGGGGAGGGGAGATTGGGGGGTAATTAGGTTCGGTCTGAGGAAGAAGACCGATAGGTCTAATTCCTCAGACCAAGAGCCTCTTCACCACGCTAAGGAGCCCCCCTTGAAGAGGTCTGGAATGGATTAAAATCGTTACCTGAGGGTCCACTGTATTATGTTGTGACCTGAATATATTGTTTTTGATGTGGTAATATTTCATATCAGATCATAGCGAAGATGAGGTCCAGTGTATTCTCCAGTCTTGTAGGCTCTATTATTTGCTGTTTTAAGGTGAATTTAGTGCAGAGATTTTAAAGCTTGTGTGTGTGCATGAGTTTTCATCTGAGCTGCCTCCTGGTGTTATCTCTGTTACAACATTATTTGCTACATTCCTCCATTTTAGGTGCCTTAGGTTGAAATCCCCCAGGAGCAAGATGTTGGGGGCAGGAGCTGGAAGATTTTCCAGACAGTGATCAATTTTTCAAAAAGCTGTTCCTGGAATTGTTGGGAAGTTACATCCTGCAAAAAAAGATTAAGGGAAATCAGCCTGACGACACTGGAGGACAGGAGGATTAGGGGAGACATGATAACGACATATAAAATACGTATTCTGAGGGATTGACAATTTGGGCAGAGACAGGATGTTCCAGAGATGGGACACAGAAACAAGGGGTCACAGTTAGAAATTAAAGACTCGGACGAGTCAGAGGGATGTTAGAAATTATTTCTTCAGTCATAGAGTTGTCAGGAAGTGGAACAGTCTGGAAAGTGACATAGTAGAGGCAGGAAACATACATAGTTTTAAGACGAAGTATGATAAAGCTCATGGAGCACGGAGAGAGAGGAGAGAGGACCTAGTAGCGATCAGTGAAGAGGTGGGGCCAGGAGCCATGACTCGACCCCTGCAACCACAAATAGGTGAATACACACACACACACACACACACACACACACACACACACACACTCACTCACGCTCAACATTATAAAAATTATGCAAATATTTTCAGTCTTACTAGAGACCCCTCTTGGGTAATACTAAACTAATTAAAAGGATGCCATGTTTCTGCAAACAAATCAGGTGCACAAGAAAAAGAACTGGAGGAGGTCTGCCACACATAGAACATAAGACTCAAGGAACATTGCATACCTAATTATAGTTTTTAAAGATGTGGGCAGGTAATCTAGTGGAAGGCATCGGTCAGATAACCAAAACCTCCAGTGGCAGGTCATCATATGACAGACTCAAGTCATGAAATAATTGTTCAGTTTCCTAATGAACGTTACCTAACCTATGGCTGTAGACATACAGACACAGGCTCAGTGGAGTAGTGTGAGGTAGTGTGGTACATGAAAGTTGTAGTGGTGGGTTATGAAATACTAACAAGACGTGTGAGGCCTCAAAAGCATGTAGCTATTGTGATAAGAAAAATATTATATCACTGCAGTTATGTGGAAAGGTTGGAAGTTTAGATTTGACTGAACATCCCAAGGAAGTGTCCTGTCATTAAGATAAAGTTTGTCAGGGGTCCATTTCTGGACCTTTTCCTGCAAGAGTTGTCATTATATATTTTGTAATAATGTTGGTAGAATTACAGACAATATGTAAAGTAAAGCTCGTGGAGAGCGAAACGTTGCCACAATAAAATGTCACATTAGTTGCACTTGTGTCCTTTTACTTTACATTATATTTTTTACATACATCAGTTTTCCAAGTTGAGAACTGTTATCCTACCTCGGCTCATTTCAAAGCCCTTCCCTATCTAAAGTATAAAGTATACACCCCCCAGAATGTGACCCACAACAGTCAACTAATACCCAAGTACCTACTCACTGCTAGGTGAACAAGGACAGCAGGTTTACACCTGCCCAGTGTTTCCACCCATGCCAGGGATCGAACCATAGACACTCAATATATGAGCTGAGTGCACTGCCAACTGAACCACAGGCTTTCACTCACCTCTAAAGTCAGGAAAAGGGTAAGCAGTGTAAGGAGAGGGAAGCTTGAAAAAAAGAATATAGACACATTGGTGACTGCTGAGGAAAGAGGGAGTCAGGAAGGGATGGTCAGCTCATGATAGTGAGAAACCTCTGAAATCTAAACTGATCCATCACATCTGGAGAGGCTAAAGGAGGAGAGCGGGGGTACATATACATACCTCAATTGTCACAGATGTGAGATATCAAAACCTGAAGTACTGTACAGGAGGGCCCCATTCATACAACAGGTTAGGTTCTGGGCTACTGCTGGAAACTGAAAATCACTGTAAAGTGAAACACAGCCTTTTTTATTGTCAAATGCATATGTGTAAAAACCTGATAGCATGTTTACACTGTCATATAGCAAGTGAGCAATAGAGCTAGGCATAAACAGTGCAGAAACAGTACACACATTACTTACCTTTAAATATTTTCATCCTTAGCTTATAGTGAGTCTGAATAAATGAAGAATGGGTATAATTCAAAACAGCTGCACTAGCCAAACACTGTAAAGCGGGGCCCTCCTGTATGTTCTTTAGTTGTGTTAATAGTTGAACTGGAGATGTTGAGTGAAACTAGGCAGTAAGTTGGAAGATCCTTTATGCCTCTGACATACTGAAACAGTAGCTGGAAAGGCCTGTGAAGGATGGGAGGTAATGTGGTGACAGATATAAAAACGTCATAGGAAAGTGTCATTTAGGGGTTTTAAACAAGTGTAACTGCATTAGTAAGGTTCTTGGCAAAACCCCATTTAGGCAGAGCACCAGCATCACAATCATCATTTAGCTAATAAGATCCTCAGGCAAGTTCCAGTAGCATTTCTGTCAGATGGCCATTTGATGTCCCACCAGTGAGTCACTCAACAGTTTAAGATGGTTAATTCCTTCAGTTGGAGTGATACAACCACCACAGCACTACCCTTGGAAGAAATGCTGAAACAGAGCTAGATATTGAATGCCTTTTGAAGGTACCCTTTCAAGGAATGGATTTCAATGAAAATCACCAGCTGTTTAGGGAGGCAAGGGGTAGGACATGGCAGAGATTGACTCCGTCTAAGGAAGGAGAGAACAGCTCCATTTCCATCTTTATACACACTCAATTTTAAGAACCCATGCTCCATTGTAGACCATGAACAAGAATAATGCAAGTTGGAAATGCAGGCAGTACATATACATATAAAGCAACACCTAAGCCAGCAGTCAACAGTGATAAAACTGAGCATGACTAACTTGATTCAGCAGGTCTAATAAAGAACCTTGTTTAATAACCCTTCACACATCAAAGAACTGCTGCCCACTAATGGGACACAGCTCCAGGGGCAGGGAAATAAAAATGAGTTGAGTACACAAGTCTTCATAGATGGCAAACACAAGGCAACACTTAGTTGGACTTCCTTCACTGTGACAACCCTAGCATGGAAAGTGTCTTGCAAATGATGCCCCCAGCTATTGTGGCCTAGGGCAATGACAGTCTCTATTATTAACTTCCTCCTCCACATAAAAAAAAAAACCTGCCCTCAGAGGATACAGCCACCAAAAGTAAAAAAAAATTTTTTTTATTAACACATCTGCCATTTCCCACCAAGGCAGGGTGGCCCCCCCCCCCAAAAAAAAAAAAAACTTCTTTCATCATTCACTCCATCAATGTCTTGCAAGAGGCAAGCTTACACTACAGTTATAAAACTGCAATATTAACACCCCTCCTTCAGAGTGCTGGCACACTACACTACAATCACATTACTTCAGTAAAACAGATAAATGCACACCCATGAAAAATTAAAGGATAATAATAAAAGTAACTCCAAGTAGTTATTAATATCAAGTAATATTATTGTTTTGAGTGAGTTGTTCTTATTAAATTACTTTTAAATTACATAATTCATTTTCTGAAAAGTATTTAAAGGAGACAATATTTTGGCATGGCACAAGATCATCACTTTATAATATATACACAGAATGAGCACTTGCAACAACAAGTTACAATGTCTTCTGGGGATCAAGTATTGTGTTGAACTAAATGCACACTTTTATCTATTTTAACTCGCCTCTGTAAACCAGAGTGATAATTTTTTCTCTTTTCAACTGCAGAACATAAGCTTAAGTGGCATTCTTTGTCCATGAAGCAAATCTTGAAGCATAAATGTATTGTGCAAGTTTGTACCACAAATTAACAAGTAGAATATATCAACAATATAAAGGCTATTTATTTAATAATACATTATCAGCTATGAGCACATTATGTGCATACTAGTACATGTTATTGGCAGTAAACAAAGCATACAATACTAAGCACTAAAATATTGAAAATACCAGACATTTGATGAGAGAATCATTCCTGAGTTGACAAAATTTTACTGGAGCATACATGCAATACCAGACTCTTGTACAAAAGATAATTCTACCAATATTTACAATCGTTATTTAGTATCCAAGTTTAAATAAGCTTTATGTGTGAAGGCAAACTAGGCAGTTTTACAAGTGAACTATTAATGTGCAAGAACAACATTAATTTATAACAAAGTATAAAGTATAAAAATAATGAATGCTACACATACATTGATAGCTAATGGTGAAAATTTGTAATTACATTCTCTCTCACCAACAGCCTATATCAGTCCCATGCTGGATAAATTATTAAATTAAAAAACAAGTGCCAAACCTGTATGGGCCATAAAGCACAAAGGTGGTCTAAGCTGTGGAGTTAAGGATTAAATGAATGTGTAAAATCTGCATCCTAGTTGGTGCAATGTGTTAGTTACTATTAAAAGTGTGTCACAGGTGGGATTTTTGGTGAGAAGGCAGTTTAAACAAGCCAGGGCACTGAAGATATGTGTGTGTGTGTTCTCTGATAGGACAGTCTATTAAAATACAATGAGTTGTTAGGACTACCTGACAGTTCTCACAGAAAGGTGCCAAGCATCTTCTGTATGCCATCAGTGTAGAAGTCATGTCAGCCAATTCAGAAACATGTGAGCACAGTTTCTTATGTCTGACAGCAATGGGAAGATGGCCAGGAGCCTTATTGTGGTTCAGTTGAAAACAATTTGTTCTCTAATGCAGATCAGCACTGTTGCTATTGGTTTCGGAGTCTTTGGGACATTACTGATAAGTCTGAATTATTATTATTATAATCAAAAAGAAGCGCTAAGCCACAAGGGCGATAAGTCTGAAAAAGGGACTTCCCTGTCAGAGACTAGTAGATTTTGAATAGCAAATCGAGTGGCTGAATCTCAGTGTTCGTTGCCCTGCCCAAGGACCTAGTAAAAACATGTCTATGCACTTGCTAGAAATTTGACATAACCATGTAGTATGTGAAGTACAACAGAACGTGGGGAGTCATTTTTCCGGATAACCCATAACGCGCTCTGAGAATCTGAAACACCAACAAGGATGTGGATATAGTTGCAGAATATATGATGAGTATTACATCAAACTTTGCTGCTAAAATGCTGGCTAACCTTAGAAAATGTCCTTGAATTACTCTATCTGGAAAACATCGACATACCCTATTCCACCTGAGGATCTGGAACCATTTGTGTACACTGCCATAACGTGAGTAAATGACTGAAAGTGTTCAAGGAAGAATGAGCATGAGTTTGTGGTGGGTATGTTGACATTCAGACATGAAAGAGGAGAGATGCAAAGATAAATCATTGGAACTGCCCAAGGTGTGTGTAAAGAGTAAGATACAGGATTAAAATAAAAGGGGAAGGGGTAAATTAAAAAATATTATACCAGAATTTGAATGAAAAGATTAAAGAGCTGCAATAAATGGGGTCAACAATTAAATGAATTATTATTCCTGCCAAATGTGATTATTCTGTATGTAGATAAATGGTTCAGAGAACTGACAAGATGATAACTTAGATACATGTGCAACACTTGGGTATCTTTATTGTGGAAATGTTTCACCACACAGTGGCTTCATCAGTCCTATACAAAGAATGGTGAAGATCAGAAGGAGTTTGAGGTAATCAGTCCCTCAGCCTGGAGTCGATTGATGGACTGATTACATCAACTCCAAGATGAGGGACTGATTACCTCAAACTTCTTCTGATCTTCACTATTCTTCTTTGTATAGGACTGATGAAGCCACTGTGTGGCAAAACATTTCCTCAATAAAGATACCTAAGTGTTGCACATGTGTCTAATTTATTATTCTGTATGTATGAGGTTTGTGAAGGTTGTGGAAAAGTAATGATAATAAACAAATTAAGCACTAACCCAAAAGGGTCATACAGCACTGCAGAAAGGGGTGTGCAAGAGGAGGATTATAAGGAGGCTAGGAGGGAGTGCAAGAGTGAGTTGGGGTAGGTAAAGGAAAGTGCAAGAGGTCAAGTAAAATCAAAGTTGGTGCAATAAGTTAGTTTCTGTTAAAATATCAGAAAATCACAAAAATCACTCCCTATGAAAGCAAAAGATTTGGCAGGAGCTGCAACATTCCCTCAGTGAGAAGCAGGGTGCCACGAATACACTAAGAGACAACACAGTAAGTGTCAGGGGCCCAAGACTGTTCAACTGTTTCCCAGCATGCATAAGGGGGATTACCAATAGACCCCTGGTTGTCTTCAAGAAGGTGCTGGACAGGCACCTAAAGTCAGTACCTAATCAGCCGGGCTGTGGTTCGTATACTGGTTTACTTGCAGCCAGCAGTAACAGCCTGGTTGATCAGACCCTGATCCACCACAAGGCCTGGTCTCAGATTGGGCCACAGGGGCATTGACCCCTGAAACCCTCTCCAGGTAAACTCCAGGATGAGATGTTCAGTATATGGTCATTCAAGCATGCTTTGGGATTCATTCTTTGCACCTTTTTTTCCATTATCATCTTTGGATGATTTTGTTAGTGAGAGAGGTTTCCAAGTTGTGTTATAGTAGACAGTTGAGGGTGGAAGTGTAGATGGGTGTGCATGTGCACATGCATGCATGCATGTGTGTGTGCATGCTAGCTCAACATCACTTATGACTATCTCTTGGCAGACAGCTTTTGTGACTGTTTGTGAATTGTCTTTGTATCATATGTGAAGCCGGTTACACTATCAAGGTAATGTAGGGTACAGAGGTACCAGAGGTAGGTAGGCAGAATGCCAGTGCCAGATTTGGGTAATAAGTGATTGCCTGAAATGATTCTAGGTTCTCATTGCTGTGCAGGGGTGGCAGGAGGAGTTAGTCACCTGGTATCCACGATAATAAACCAATTCTTTATTTATCATAAGGTTAAAAATGGGGAAAAGCTCCTGGAATACATGAAAAGAAACAATATATCCACCCCGACCTACAGTCACCTCCACTGTCACAGGTAGTTCTGTATCGTTATATTAATGGTATATACTACTTCTGACAAGATCATGAATAAAACATGAGCATCACTGATAACTTTATTGTCAATAACCTTCACCTGTGCAAGCCTCTTCAGTCACATACAGAGGAGGCATATACTGGAGCCACTGTCTCCAGTTTAAAAGTCACCTTACTTTTGTCTTGGCTTTACATTGATCTATCCAGACTGAAGGACTAAACACCTCAAATGACTTAAAGATTGAGAAAATGAGCTCCTTCAACTTATCTCTAGAGTTTAAATGTCGTTTGTATTCAAGTGAAGGAGCACAGGCAAAATGTTTCAGAAATAAAGATATGCAAGTGTTGCATGTGTGTCTTATTCATCAACAGACAGTACTGTTCTTACCTGGAAACTGCCTCGAGAATTAACTGAATAAAGCTTAACAAAACCACCTATTTACACCAGAGACCTAACTGTGCAGTTGTCTTCCAGGTGTTACTGATTTTGAGGGCTCTTCTACCCCTGTAGCCCAGTCTGAGGCTAGGCTTTCCAGGTGACTACCTGGTCATCAGGGAGATCAATAGTCATACCTTCTCAGTTGTCACACTTGAGACTGTTCAGCAGTCTGGATTCACAGATGTTGATACAGTGTACCGCAGGGAAGTGTCCTTGGTCCCCTGCTCTTCCTCATATACATCAATGATCTTCCAAATGTATCTCAACACCTGAACCCCATTCTCTTTGCTGACGACACGACTTATGTCATCTCTCACCCTAATCTTGCCACCCTCTACACCATTGTTAATGAGGAGCTGATCAAAATATCGACTTGGATGACAGCCAATAAACTTACGCTTAACACTGACAAAACCTACTACATTATGTTTGGTAGCAGAGCAGGAGATGCGCAAATTAACATTAAGATCGACAACACTCTAATTGCCAGGCATAATGAGGGCAAATTCCTAGGCCTATACCTCGACAACAACCTGAACTTCAGCACCCATATCCAACACATAACCAAAAAAGTATCCAAAATGGTTGGGATCCTCTCCAAGATACGATACTACGTGCCGCAAACTGCCCTTCTCACATTATACCATTCACTTATATATCCATACCTCACCTATGCTATCTGTGCTTGGGGTTCAACTGCAGCAACACACCTAAAGCCAATAATAACCCAACAAAAAGCCGCAGTAAGAATAATCACTAAATCCCATCCTTGGCAACACACCCACCCACTCTTCATAGATCTAAACTTATTCCCTGTTCAGTACATCCACACTTACTACTGTGCAATCTACATCTACAGGACCTTAAATTCCAATATTAACCTTGACCTAAAACGCTTTCTTGATAGTTGTGACAGAACCCACAAGCACAACACCAGACACAAATATCTCTATGACATTCCCCGTGTCCGACTAAACCTTTACAAAAATTCAATGTATGTCAAAGGCCCTAAAATCTGGAACACCCTACCTGAAAATTCTAAAACTACAGACACATTCATCACCTTCAAAACTACCATCAGAAAACATCTTATCTCCCTGATACACCCTGTCAACTAATTACACGAATACCACCTGGTGGTTAACACTTACACTCACTCACCCATTTGACCATAAACAGAAATATCAATCTCAAGCTCAAAATAATGTATCTTAACTAGTCATAAGTTGGCCTGTGATACTCCAATACTGAAACTATGTATAGTGCCAAAACAAAAGCATTCACATTGCTAAACTCACAAACTAGTATTTAGTCACTTAGCCATAATACCAACTCACCTCATAATTTTGTAATATTTTAAACTTAAGATTTGATTTAAGTCTGCCCGAAATGCCTAACCATGCTAGGTGTTCTAGTGGTACACTCTGTAATTATTATTTTACTACATGTAAACCACACAATAACCAAATTCTGTAAACTCGGCATTGTAATCCTTATAGAGAATAAACTTTGAATCCATGGCACCCATTTTTCACTGGATTTATTTTACACATTCTCCAATATCTCTCACTCCAGTATGTTATGGCAGTATGCAGATTTGGGGCCAGACCCCTCAGGCACATTGCATATGCATATATGCATATATGCATATATATATATATATATATATATATATATATATATATATATATATATATATATATATATATATAATATATATATATATATATATATATATATATATATATATATATATATATATATATATATATATATATATATATATATATTATATATATATTATTATGCATCTCTCCTTCACTCAGTAATATAAATGCTTTATTGGCTCTATGCAAGCCACAAATGATCTCTCTATCTTTTCTAGCTTTGATATCTCCTGCCCTGAGAGGAGCTGTCAACACTGAACAATGAGCGTGAGCATACAAGTGATTTGAAAAGCATTACCATTAGTACTATGTCCCATTACATCCATTCCATCATTTTCCTGGTGTTCATGATTGTTCTTTGAAAGAAAGGTTAACTGACATTACCCACAGATCGCTTACATATTTCTTTCATTCTCCTTGATGATCTTGTGTTTTGTATACAGTATCTTTCTTGAATTCTTCATTCTTTCCATTTCTAATTAGTTGAAACTTGTTACTGTTGAATGTCATGTTATTTTTCACTACCCACTGGAAGACTTTGTTTATATCTTCTTGCAATTTTTTCATGTCCTGTACAGAGGTGATTTTCATGCTTATTTTGGTATCATTTGCAAATAATGATAGGTAATTGTGCAAGTGTTTTTATCTGCAGTATGTCCACTATGAGGATAAGAAACAGTAAAGGTGCCAGAACCATGCCTTGGGGTACTGAGCTTTTTACTTTGCTAATGCATGCTCTATGATTATCCAGTTTCAGTAAGATGGAAGGACAAAATCACCATCAGGTCAACAGCGATTCTTTCTCATTCAGTCTAGGAGCTGTATTTCACACAAGGGAAAATATTTCTTCTAATGAAGCCAGAAGAAGAGGGACAGTTGGAGGGGGGAAGGGGTATTTAGATTGAGTCCAAGGAAGAGGAGAGGTCGAATTCCTTAAATCAAGAGCCTCTTCACCTTGGTAAAGGACCCC